AATGAGACGAAGGAGTAGGTCCTGGAACAAGTGTATTCAGTACTACCTATAACAAAATTTTGTGATCTTTTTGTGGGAAGTTACTAACATTAAACTCTATGTTTTCTTATAAATATTAGCAATGAAAACTCCTTAAAAATGCAAAGGCGCTTGTGGCTTTGTTTCAAAGAAGCAGAGTAGAAGAGATGTTGGGAGCCTTTGCCTTACTGTGAAACAGATCTAGGGGTAGAAGATTTCAGTTGAAGAATAATTTGGTGCTGGCTGGAAAAAAGTTAGGGACCTTAACTTCAGGGATGTATAAAGAAAATGAGGTAAGCCAGGAATTACTCTACAAGGTACCCAGGAGGATTCATCTGGCAGTAGGGCCATTTTAGCTCACACGATTACTGCTCTTTTAAAAATATTTTAAAATTGTTATTTTTACAAACATTTCAGTTGCCTCAAAGTTATGAAGACCAGGCTACCATCCTACTAATGTTCATGACCACATATAGTCAAAATTGAGTGTGTGCGTACGTGTGGTGTAATGGTGGGGAAGGAGGTGTCAGAGGGATGCTAAAGGCAAATAATCAAAGAAATACAATATTGAGTGAAAGCTCATGGTGATCTGATATTTTGAAAACAACTAATCTTTCAGTTATTAAGTAAGTCTTTTTCTTCTTGATGAAATGCATTATTTGAAAGGTCCTGGCATATTGCTAATGGACATATTTATAGATATGAAAAAAAAATTAGAAGGAGCAATCAATTATTCAAGAGTCAGGTCATCTTTCAAATACGAAATAATGTCATCTAATTATTTAATAGCAAAACATATCAGTATGGTTTTGCAACAAAAATCATTCAAAAAATCATTCATAATTAACCAAACTATTTTATGACGATTTTTCTAAGGTTATATAAATACTGTTTTAAAGTGATTTATGTTAAATGTACTTCTTAATGTTTTTCAATGTTATAAATAAATTGTTATAATAACCACACTACGACAATTTTTTATAAGTGACAAGCCAATGACTAGATAAGGGGCAACAATAGGTTAAGAATGTAAGAATTATTTTTAGTTAAAAAAAAAAAAGGCATAATTATAGCAAAGGAAAAACACTTGGAAAACAATGGATTAAGAACACAGAGAATCAGAAGTTTTAGAAGATTAGGAAAACAAAAATTTAATGTTTTCAGATTGACTTATCAAAAGAAAATATCCACACATGACTAAAAAAGCAAAAGGAATACTGGAAGCAGACATTTAATTGACTCCCCAAAAGGGATTTAGATTTACAACCTAAACTCACCATCTTTCTTCCCAGCAGCCATTTTTCTGCTGATAATAAAATTGTTGGCCTGTTTGGTCTTCCAGTTAACTGTTCCATTTATGCCATCAGCACAGCTTAATAAAAAAGCTTTTCAGAATAAAACAAATGCACAAAAAATGAAATTAATGTTCAATTAAAATGACTATCATAGATCACCTACAACTAACTGGGATCAGATTCCTTCCAGCCCAGCTAGCTGTTTAATTCCATTCAATAAATATTTGTTGCGTGTCAATACAAGGAATATATGAAGACACCAGGTAAATAAAGCACAGTTCCTCCCCCTCACAGAGTTTACAATCTACAAGGATTAATAATTCAGGCACAGAAATATATACATAATATATAATATGTATATAACAATTACACATAAATATACCATGGTAGAAAGCATAAGTGCTACAAAAACACTGAGGGAAGAAGCAATTATCTCTGGCTAGAAATGAATTAATAAGTTTGAAATGTCTTTTAAATTCACAGTTGAGTTTTGGCAACACTACACTGACAGCAGTGAATAGAAGTGGAGTTAGAAGATACTAAATAGGGCATTATTCCTGGATTGTAGAGTAGCAACCAGCCCATTACTCAGCAGCTGAAGCCAAAGGAAGTAACAGTGGAGCCACTAGAAGACATCATGGAGATAATACTGATAATACTTTTCCAATTGCTGGATGTGGGCTAAAAGGAGAATCAAAGATGGCTTTGAATGTCTGATCCAAAAGGAAAGAACAGTGAAACCCCCTCCCCAAAAAAGGAGTTGGCTTTAGGATAAACATGATAAATTTAATTTGGAATATGTTAAATATGGGGTACCAGCTGGATATCCATGTGAAACTATCTAAGAAGAAAATGGAAATAGAATGATTGCTGATGCCAAAGCCCCACTGTAATTCCTTAAAGAGCTCATACTCCCAGGTAACACACATTGGGCCCTTGTGTACAAAGTGATCTGGAGAAGATATACATTCATGTCTGGACCCATGTGTCTATCCTATTTTCCATGATATAAACTAGCAATCTTACAGCTTACTCTCCCATTTTCTCACTCTTACCTTTCAGACTTGATATTTGGGCACCATTTTCCTGACTACAACATTGGATCTCCATTTCAATCTCCTTTCCTCTAGCCATCTCAGGTACGTTCCCTCTGTGTTCAGCTCAGTCCAGGGATCCCCTAGGGTGTACCCCATAGTTTTGTCCTAGCTCCTAGAGCTGAATGAAATATAGCAAGAAGGAATGCATGAAAAGTGGGAGGGACAGCAAAGGCAGACGACTGTGTTAATACATTTACACAGCAAAAGCAGAGGATTCAGCAAATGAGACAGGCAGTCAGAGAGGTTGGACAACTGAGACCGAAGTGTCACATATGTCAACAGAAGGGTTGTCATGATCAACAACCTCACATACTGCAAAAAGTTCAAAGAGAACGAGAACTTAGAAAAGATTGCTAGATGTGGAAAATGAGAAGTTTCTGGTGGCTCCTGCAAAGTGAAGTTCCAATAAAGTAATAGGAGCATAAGTTGCAAAAGGTCAAGATGTAAATGCAACAAACACAGTTAATCTTTCAAGAATACTGGCTAGAATCAAGAAGCAAAGATATAAAAAGATAGACTGAGGAATAGCAAGGTGAGGAGAAGGGTTGGTTACTTTCGTGTGGGGGAAAAGATTTTATTCTCGAGCCTGTGAAAAGACAGAAAGAGATAGAAAGAGACTAAGTAAAGAAAGGGGGCATAAATAATGAGACACAATCCAAGCAAAACTAGAACGGGTAGGACCAAGTATAAACAAGTAAAGAAAATACTACATGAATCAAAAAGTAAGGACAAGAAAAGAAACATTTGTTGGGGTACAGGAAACTGAATGTTGAAAGAGTTTCTCATCTTAGTAAATTAGAGATGAAATGTATATTTCCTTTTCAAACTGAATGTTAAGTAAAATTCTGAACTTACACTAAATTATGGGAAATATAGAGTTACCTTTGAAAGTGACTAAAAAAATACAATTCAAAACTCAAGTTACTAAAAACAAACAAGCAAGCAAGCAAGCAAGCAAATGAAACCTCAAGTGATTATTTCAGTGATATCTGGGAATGGAAATCAAAGTCCCTAGCATCCCAAGCGAATAAACAACTTGGTTGGTATTCAATTTTTAAAATATGTAAACATAAGTGTACTAATTTTATAGCTACTAAAAGACCAATCTTAAGGCTGATTCACCTAATAAATGATTGATTCACTTAATAACTGAAATTATATCTTTTTAAATCTACATGAAAAATACAGTAGTCATTTCCTAAATAATTTAAGCTAAAATAGAATCAGAAATGTTCACAGTCTCTTGTGGCAAACTATCCCACCCCTCTCAGATGTTACATAAGAATCACTTATGGGCAACTCTCTAAAAATACATATTTGCATGTACCCACAAATATATAATAAAAAAATTAAAAAACATATATTCATGACTCCACCATGGCAAGTCTAGGTAAACAGATTACAGAATTTTATCAGGTGATTCTCACACACAAATCTGAACTCTAGAAGGCCAAGAGAAGACCTACAGAACCCAAGGGTGTATAAGATATTCAACTGAGTCACAGCATATGCACTAAATGCAGGGCTGACCTTAGAACTGAAAACCTCACCCCCTTCTACCTCCAACTGGCCCACACGTGCAACCAATTTGCAAGAACATGTAAGTCACTGCTGGACAATAGGAAGTCTCAACCTAGAAAGACAGGAAGCAAGCAACCAAATTCTTCTCTACGACTTTCCAAAGAACAATGACAAGAAACATTTAGATTTAAATCCATCACATCATCTTGTCATGAACAAGGTGCTTTCATGTATATTGTCTAGTTCAATCCCTACAAAACCAAATGACTCTATTATTTGTCTGAATGTGATCAAGGGTTGGTCTTAAAGGAGAGTGGAGTAAATCCTGCAGGCATGCAAGCACTCTTTAGAATTCTCCACTTTTCCATGGATAGGGGAGTTACCATAAAGAAAGAATAGGCTGAGTGTCCAGACAGCACCCGCTTTGTTCTATATTCTAGCCCAGTGTTTCTCAAACTATGTTGGGCATAATAATTATTCAGAGTTATACATACAAAACTACACACAGTATACTTCATGGGTGATTTAAAGGATTTACTGAGATAACTTAACTCATGGGATTTTTGTTTGTTTGTTTTACACTCTGACTTTCAGAAACTGACTAAACCAGCCAAAGATTTAACGCCACTGCAAGACCTTGCCAGGTGAACCAACATAGCATTGCTCATACTTGGTTCTAGATAAGGGCAGTCTATTAGTTGGCTTTTACAGAATTCACAATACAAATCTGATTGGTGCCTCAACTATTATAAAATAGAGGCAAGGTAAAGTAGTTTAAACACATTCCACAGATACTGCTCTATTTTAAGGCCAGCATTGCTTTGAGCACATTCATTTTTTTAAAAAACATTCATATTGATCCATCTAAACTTCTACTTCGACCACAGAAGACCACAGTCCAATAAATCTAAATAAAACAACTTTTTCTGACTATACTCACCAGACAATGTCACAAAAGGCAAGAAAGACACAATACCACGGATGATGTATCTGCCTAAACATTCAAGTCTCACCCCTTGAGGGAGAAATCTCAATAATATGATAATAACTGGTTTTAATGGCTTGCCCAAAATCATAGATCCACTTTAACTTCTTGAATAAAAAATTATTGTAATCTGTACATTGACAAATGCAAAATACTCACTGAAAAAAGCTAGTACTTTAAAGTTTGATTTTCACTAGGAAAAAACATAGCATTTTTTTTTTTCTGTGAAAACAAATTTCCTTAGGATGGGAAAATATGACTTAACTTTTAAAATATGCTATGCATAACTTTTCAAAATTCCAATGCATAACAAAGAGTAAGTCAACTTGTATAGACTGGTTCTTGGACTCTTTCCAAAGATAATGGCCCATCTTCAGAAATCTTGAAAGGAACTCTGCTGTGCTCACTAGGTTCATAATAATCTATGCTACAGTTGTACCTGGATGTGAGTTTTGCTCTAATTCATAAACACAGAAGCAAAGAATAACACCCATACTGCATTTACACAGTTCAAACTGAGGAGACAGTCACACAATTAGCCAGCATATCAAGATACATAATTTGTTTAATTCCTCGATGTTCCCTCTCAAAAATCATCGAAGCCCGAATTAATCCAAAGGTAACTGGCATGCCCTTAAATTCCCCAGAAACCAGACAATACTTAAAGTTTGTCTTAAAATTCTGTGATTCATTCTGAGTCTTGTAGCAGCAGGACGACATTTCATCTGGCCTGGGGCAAGCACTCTCTGAAGAGACATCACTCATCCCTCGTTCCCAAACCTGAATAATTGGCAGAGTGGGGGAGGAGGAGTTTGCTGCTTCGTGAAAGCAATTGAGGAACTGTGAATAGCGACTGATTGCTGATGAGCTAATCAGAAGATCAAGGAATAGAAATAATAAATAATAACTCACTCCAACATCACTGTCCAAGTAAACAGCAGGATATGGCAAATGAAATTTAATCTGATTAACACGGTCACCTTAGAATCAAACTGTCAAGTCTTTCTCTGTTCGCTGCTTCGACTCTTTTCATATTTTACTAGACGAGGACACAGACTTTGTTTTCATAAACTGGATATATAGCCTATGTCCCCCATATTTCTTCCCTTTTCTCACCATTCCCTATGTCACTATGTTGGTCTCTTGTCCTCGACATTTTCTCTTCCCTTCCTTTATGTAACTATCTGTAATATTTTTTAAATGGTCTCATATTAATATGTTTTTTGTATTTTTCTCTCCCCAAAAATGTGTTAGTTGACATTATGATTAGCTACCGTGTTTTTTGTACTAAGCATGAGGCCCTACACTAAGGGTTCTATACATATTAACTAATTTAATCCTTATGTCACCAGTTTTGTGCAGTGGGTACTATTAGTTCCATTTTACAATGAAGATAAGAAGTCTCAGGAATTTATGTTGCTTACTCCAAGTTACATGGTCAGTAAGTGGCAGAGTTGGATTTTGAACTCATTTCTTGGCTGACTCCA